CCTCCCCCTCCCCCTCCAGTGACAGGCCGTGCCGCCCACAGCTCATAACCCTCCGCCTTGATGGCCTTGGCGGCCTCCAGCGGAGCGATCGGCACATCGTCGGACGCCCCCACCAGAGTCGACTCGCCCGACAGGCCAGCAGTGTTGCCCCGTGCAGGCCAGCCGCCCACCCATTCTGCCACCGATGGCTGGCCGCCGCCATTGCCCCTCCCGAGCCAGTCGAGCCACGCTGTGCGCCTCTGTGGTTGCGGCGGCATGGAGGGGGCGGCAACCTGCCCGTGACGAGTGTTCCTCCGGCTGCGTGCTCGTGCCGCCTGTGCAGCGACCGTCGCGTTGAGTAGGCGTCTCTCCGCGTCGTCGCTCGTCTGCAATAGGATGAAGTAGGATCCGTCAGCCAAAGACCACCAGTACCTTCGCCGACACAGCCGACGCAGCCCCAGGCCGACGTGATTGCCGCCAGGGAGTGCCGCCGAGGACAGCACGGGCCGGAAGGTCTCGTATATGACATCGTTGTGCGCGTCGATGGTCTCGATGCGCTCGCTCTGCAGGTGCCCCGGGAGCCACTCACGTGTCCGCTGCAGGTCCATCAGCAGGCTGAAGACATCTAGAGGGGGCGAGAAGACCATGCAGGTGGCCTGCACCAGACGCGCATCGGGAGGCAGCCGGGCAGCCCCTGCGCGTGGGCTGGACGACTCCCATCGCTCGGCGTAGCTGTACTGGCGCGGCCCTGGGTGCCGGTAGCGGATGAACAGAGTCAGACAGAACACGCTGAGCAGGACGGCCAATGCGCCGTGCCACGATGGGCTGGTCACCATGCTCTCGAAAACCCAGGCGAGAAAGCCGTCCGGTGCGCACAGGCTCGACAGAAAGGGGAGGATCAGCACCACCAGACACAGCCAGCCCAGCAGCCGCACGCAAGGCCCCCCGGCCATGCCTCTGCCATGACGCCGCGCCCCCCCGAAGACCCTCCACGTGTGGAGATCTGCGACCGACAGCCTCAGCCCCTGGTCGGCCTCGACGAGCGTCCCCTTGGCGTCCATTCTCTTGGCAGCCTTGCAGACCTCGTGCAGCGCCTCCTCGATGCCGTCAGACAGCTGGCCCACACTGGCGTTGGCACTCTTGCGCCACCACCATGGGTCACGATCACGGCTGTGGGTGGGTGGTGGCTGGCTCGGCAGAGGGAACCAGGGGGGGGATGCTGGCGCTGACATGTCCGACGAGGGGGAAAGGTCGTTCATCATGCCCTCATCGGAGGCCAGGGGGACCACCGGCAGCCGAGAAGGCACTGCTGCTGCTGCTGCTGCGGGTGGTGGTGGTGGTGCTGCTGCTGCTGCCGGTGGCGGTGGTCCTGGTATGGCCGCTGCGGTGTCCGGCATGTGTGGAGTGCCCTCCAGCCCCGGCCTGGCCCAGCTGGCGGGCAGGGCCAAGGACAGCGGCCCGCTGCTGCCGCTGCCGCTGCTGCTGATGATGTTGGCGGCTGAGGCCCACCTGTCCTGCCTGGGGGGGCCCGCTGTGGCCGTGGCAGACGCACCCGCGTGTGAGAGGGGGGCGGCTCTGTGTGTCTGTGTCTTGTGCTGCTCATTAGGAGGTCTGCGTAGTGACGTTGGGCTGGATGGAAATGGTGATGGGGAGGGGACCTGTGTGGGCGGCGCCGTGACGGCTGAAGGGGCGTAGGCGGGGAGGGAGGAGGCCGCCGTGGCCGCCCGCTGCATCCAACCCATCCACTGCTTGGTCGCCTCCACTGTCGACGCACTGCAGTCAGTGAGAGGGGTGACAAGGGAGGGAAGGAACCACACAATACAATCAATCCAATGTGTCCGTCCTCTGTCCTTCACAGAGGGCGACATGCATACGCTACGCACCTGAAGTGGAGGGTGCGCTTCCAGCCGGCCGATGACGTGACTGTCACGGCGAAGGCATGTGCCCTGCCGCTGACCTCCCCCGCCCATGTGACCTCGGCCCCCCTGAGAGGCACCCGCCCCCTGGGGACACTGTCCCTGGCGTCGCCGTAGTAGAACATGGCCGCGCCCCCCACACGCACCGTCACGTACCGACGGTGCCACGAGTAGCTTATCGGACCCTCACCTGCAAAGTCACACACACACATACACCCATACACACACAGAGGGCGCAATTGCAAGACGGAGAGGCCAGCACCCTGTCTCTCTCTCTCTCTGTCACCGAGTTTGAAGAGGTATCCGCATTTCGGTCGTCTGGTGGTGGCTGTGAGGGGTGGTGCGGCCCCTGCACCACCTGGCAGGGCGCGATGGGATGACGGTGTGTGTAGGGCGGTGGCCGGGTGGAGCGGCGGCTTGGGGGTCCCCACACGCGACGATGACCGGCGGAGACTCAGGCGAGATGACGAACGCCGATACTAACAGACACAGGCAGATAGACACTGGGGTGTGGGAGCGTCTGTTCTCTGTTGTTCTGCCCTGTCCGGTGGTGGCTGACTTGACCTCTTCTAGTCGAAGAGACGGTGACCTGCCCAGCCGCCCACCTGCACCCATACACGCACAACACACACACCACTGTCGGCTTCCCTGTCTGTCTGTCTGTCTGTCTGTCCATCGGTGTCGTCTCAGCGTACGGTCTGTTCCGGTGGGTGATGCAGCTGCCTTGGGTGAGCGTCGCCTCCTGGATGATGGCGAGCCCATCCCAAGGCCACCCTCGATGCCCACGACCTCCACCTCGCCGTCCTCGTCCTCTTGTGGCTCGGGGGTGGTCGGGTTGGCCTCCACGTTGTCGGAGTCCTCGTCAGAGGTGCGCTCCTTGGCCCACGCCTGCACCCAGCACACCACACACAAGAGAGCAGGGCAGTGAGGCCCCTCTCTCTCTCTCTGTGTGTGTGTGTGCAGAGTACCCTGTCGAGCTTGGCTTTGACTTGCGCCTCGAGGGCTCGGATGTCCTCCAGCCGCATGCCGTGCCACTCATCCTGAACACACACGACAGGCAGGTGTGTGCAGTCAGCCATCGATATACACAGACGGACTGTACTAGAGGTGGTCTGTCAGCCTTTCTCTCTCTCTCACCATCCAGCAGATGGCCTTCCGGTGGTACTTGAGCAGCGCGTTGCGCAGCAGCTTCTGCGTCAAATCCTCGATCTGACAAACAGACAGACAGACATAGACGCATGAGTTGTCTTGTTTTGGTTGAGCATTATCGTTGGTTGGGTGGGTGTGCGGGCGGTTGGCTTGCGTGCCTTGTTCTGGAACCCCAGGAGTGGGAAGTCGACGGCGATGACCTTGTAGCAGGTCATGACGGGGTCTGCCCGCGACATCCACTCCTTCGACATGGGCGAAAAACCTATACACACATGACAATGACACGCACACACGACACGGACGTCAGTGCGTGTGTGCGTTGGCGCGTATTGTGACCGATATCCCTCACTCACTGACTGACTCACCGGCCTTTTGTGATGAGAAGAGGGCGGGGTCTTCGTCTTCCCGGTACTCATCCGGCGGGATGGGATCGTTGACGATGTCTATCACATCAACCTGGGTGGGTGCAGACAGACAGACAGCCATATGGATGGATGGATGGATGACATCTGTCCTGTCGTGGTGTCTTGTGTCTACTCGGGCGCACCTGTCTGACTCTGAGAGTCTTCTCCGGCAGGTCTAGAGGCTGAACACACCGCAGCCATAACCACACACACACACACACACACAGAGAGAGAGAGAGAGAGGGTGACGATCGAAACACTCCGGTGCTGCTTGTGGAGGTGGTGCTGGTCCTGGGAGGCGACCAGGTAACGCCCGTCACGTACGTTGTCGTGTGTGCACACTCCCGGGTGGTGCATGCTCTCCACAACCAGAGTCAGCCGAGGAAACAGCGGACACTGACACACACACACACACAAGTGTCGATCCACAGCCATAGATCTGTGGGTGAGGGCTGCCTGTCTGTCTGTCTGTCTGTCTGCCTACCGAGTATTCCGTCTTGCACATTGGGAAAGCGTTCCATGCCTTCTCCTCGAACACCTGCACGACATCGCATACAGCATCAGGCAGGCGGGCAGGACACACATGAGGAGACCAAACACACAAGACGGGACGGGTTCGTGTCGACTCAGCGCCCACCAGCCACTTTGGGTTCGCCAAAGACAGCACCCACTTGGGCAAATGACTGCAACCATTCACACACACACAACAGACAGACAGACAGACAGACAGAGAGGGGGGGGAGGGGCAAAAACAATACAACACAACACAATTTGCAGGCGGGCAGGCAGGCAGGCTGACTGACTGACTGAGTGAGTAGCTCATCTAACAAGAGCTGGCCTGGTCACGTGACCGTGCGCACCTCACCCTGCGATGGAGATGCGTTTGTGCGTGAATTGTCCGTCCCATGTGCCGTCTTTGAAGGGCTCGTTGGTGACAATCTCCACACCGTCGCCGCCAGCCGTGTCCTCCAAACTCGACTTGGCCACCATGTACAGCTGCGCTATCTGGTACTGCTGCAACCACAACCACACACACACACGTCAGCCGAAATGACCGACACGAGAGAGCAGAGGCCATTTGCTCGCTCACCTCGAGTGACAGAGGCATCACCAGGCGGTATTCAACGGTCTTCATGGCCCCAGGCCCTGGCGCCTGTCAGCGATGCTCCTGGTGCACAGAGTGTTTATTCTCCTGCAGGCCTTTGAGTCGCGGGAAAAAGTGGCACCTCACGCTCCACACACAAAGGCTGCCAGTGCATTTTGGCCAAAGGGGAGAAAAAGAGAACACATTCCGAAGCTGAGCTCGCAGTCGGAGAATCGTCGGCTCGCAGCTGAGGCAAAGAGGGCGCCACCGGCTCCTCTCTGACCACGCTCGCAATCACGCCGTACTTTGATTCATCGGCAGCCCTTGCAGTGTTTGTGTGATTCCGACTGCCCACAGAGCTTTGTGAAAGGAATGAATGCACCTGCCAGTGGACGCTTTGCAAACAAAGCTCTGACGTACCGCTGACTCGTTAACTGCTTCCCTGTTGTTGTTCTGTGCGCTGCTGTCTTGCCCCGGACAGACAGACAGACAGCCTTAAACCATCAAGTTCCTCACTGACGGCTGCCTGCCTGCCTGTCTGCCACAGTGTCAAGTTGGATATATTGCGGGACAGACAGACAGGATCGAGGCGTCTCTGTACAAAATATGATGCATGACACAGCCATGGGCGCGGCGCAGCTGGTTGACTGACTGACTGACGCAAAAATAGATAGATACAGACAGCCCCTCCCCTCCGATCCACCCACACTCCACACAAATGTATGTCACTCACCCACAAACACTGCCATCCAGCCATGGCCATCCATGTCTTGCGAGTCTGTCAGTGCTGGCCGCCTCAGCCATCAGCCGCAGTCAGCAATGTCACTCACTCCCCCATTTCACGACAGCAACCCGACACGCACACGGCCGCCAAGCAGGCACAGGCGGCTCGGCTCCCCTGTGAAGCATTGATCCATCCATCCATCCATTCCCTCGTGCCTTCACATGTGCACCCATGGACTGGACGCACCCACATGCACTCCACCCAGCAACACAACACTAGCTGTCCCGCCCTCTCCCCCCACCAGCTGACTCACGCAGGCCTGCAGCCCCGACGTACACACACACACACACACATGCATACATCAGACCGGGAAAACAGACACGCCGGCAGTCAGGCAGCCAGTCAGGCGGGCGGCAAACAACCAGAGGGGTTCGTGCAGCTATGTAGGCTAGGCTAGGCTATGTGTGCAACTCACACAGTCAGTCGTAGGTTCGTTCCCCAGTAGAAGCTAGCAAGCCAGCCAGGCAGCCAGCCACTGACTCACTGACTCACTGACACGGACCGACCGAGCACCCACCCGCCCCCCTCTCCCCACTCAGTCATTCCTTCAGTCAGTGAGTGAAACCCACCGCAGTCAATTCGCCAGCTACTATAGATGGATGGACAAACAATTGAGAATTAGACATACATACGGCAGTAAGTATACTGATACAACAAGCAAGTAATTCCCCTCCACCTGCCCCCCCCTCCCCCGCCCTGCTGCATGAACCCACTCATGGACTCACTGCTGCTGTCCTGTGCTGTGCTGTGCGAGCCATCCATCGCTCGATGAATGGATGGATAGGCAATCACAGTATTCTCTGCAGAGTGCGTCGGTTGACCCGTGCACTCTGTGGTGCGGGGGGCGGCTGGAGGGGCTCAGCCAAGGTGGACCTGGACTCGGGAGCCTCGGATGACTGCTGCTGCTGCTGCTGCTGATGATGGCTTTGGGGCTGGGACGGCACTGCAGCTGCTATCGCCGCCGTCAGCGTACTCTCGGGAGACGACACCTGCATCGATGAGTGATGCAGACAGACAGACAGACAGAGGGGCTAATCAATGGGCGACATCTTACTCCTCTCCTCTCCCCTCCCCGCCACCCCGTGTGCCGTGTTGTGCTTACGCTTCCTTGTGGCTGGCTTGTGGTGGTGGTGGTGATGATTCTGTCCAGGTTGCCCTCGCTGCTCTGGGTGGACATGCGCGCGTCGCTCAGGCCGTCGGCCACCCCTCCTTTCTCCGACAGCAGCGCACCGCCACCACTCTGGTGGTGGTCAGTCGTCCGCTTGGTGGGCGGCACGGAGGGCGTCTTGATGGCCTCGATGTCCGCCGTGAATGAGTGTTTCTCGTCCTCCACGCCATACCTCGCCGCGAAGGCCTGGGCGCGCAGAAGCTCCATGGCGTCGCGCTTCTTGACGGCCTTGAGGTTGGCCGCTCGGCGGGGGTGCAGGGGAGTCGCCAACGTGCTGAGGGAACCATCCATGGATGGATGGATGGATGATCACAGTAAGGTGTGTGGGTGTTTTGCAAACTCCCTCTCTCTGTCTGTCTGTCTTACTCGAGTCGGTTCTTTGATGCATGTGCCCCGGGCGCGCCCGTGCCACCGGTGTCTGACACACACACGGGACATTTGGACGGACACGTGACCCTTTTTTTCTGAAAGGACATCCTCACTCACTCACCCTTGGGCACCTCAAACCGACGACCTGCATGCGTCACAGACAGTGAATGAATGAACGAACGAACGCACACAACACATACTCACGGCGAGCAGACTGATCATTGCCTGGCGTGCTGGCTGTGCGAGTTGTGTTGCCTCACCCACCTAGCTGTCTGGGTGTTGTGGGAGTGCCCATGGCATCGCCCGTTCTGCTGCCGTTGCTGCTCTTCTGGCTCCCCAGAGGGCTCGGCAGGTCCTTCGGGCCGAGCAGCAGACCGTTCACACCGATCTTGACGTCAGACGCCAGAAACTCCTAGTTGTTCGCACACATAACACAGAGGCCATAAGCACGGAAGACCTCTCTGCCATGGTGGGGGCACGCAGGCAGACAGACTGCCGAGAAAGTGACCGCCATCATTCGGGCTCTTCTGACGATGTCCGTGGCTCTGGAGGGCTTGCTGTCGCCATCGGCGGATGAGCTGCCGACGCTCTCGCAGCTGCCCGACGAGTCGAACGGTGCCGCGAAGCGGCTGGAGGCGGTGACGTGCACCATGGGCGACTCGGTCGTCATGTGCCGGTTGGGTGTCGGGAACGCCGAACTGTTCGCCTGGCTTGGCGCTGCACACACACACACAGACACACAGACACACACACGAGCAGCGGGCTCGCTATTGTCCGTCCGTCTCATGTGTTGTGTGTGAGGTGCGTTTGGTGACTGACTGAGTGAGTGGAGTGGTACCTCGGGAACTGCAGGGCGTCTCGCCACTCTCCTCTGGTATGGGATCAAGAGCCTGATTGAGTCATTAGCACACACACCGTCCCAAACAGCAGAGGAAGCAACAGAGAGCGGCCTTGGTTTTCGCTTCTCTTCTCCTCACCCATGTGAGATTGCTTCTCTTTGCTGCTTCTGCTCCTGCCGCTGCCATGCCGGGCTCACAAAAACAAAACCGCAATCTGTACTCAGCGAAGCGTACAAACCGGCCTGCGAGGCTCGGGGCGCCAAACCACCAGCGAGTCAGAAGTGCGAGCTTCCTGGCGCCTGCGTTTTTGAGCTCGCACCCCGCGACAAGGCAGATCTCTCGTTTTGTGGCTTGAGAATGAAGCTCCCAGGGCTGCTTGGCCTGATTGGGCCATTCATGGCACTCACCGACGCCTTCGTCGTGCCGAACCACAATCACGTCAGAACGGGGAGCACACACAATGAGGGAGGGGATGCGCAATGACGCACTCGGTGACCTGCCTGTTGATGTGTGTGTGTGTTTGCCACTTGCAGGGCCTGCAGCGACCCACGATAAGGCGGCATGCCCCCTCAAGGACTCTGAGAATGCAGGATGAGGTAAAGAGGCTGGCAGGGCAGCCGGAGGGCGGTGTCAAGGTTTGTGTGTCTTGCCTGCAGGCCGTGGCTGAGCCGCCAGCGCCCCCACCATCTGCGGTCGCGCCGACCGCCCCGCCCGTCACATTCTCTTCACTAGAAGAGGTCAGTCAACATCTCAGCCACCTTATATCCCACTGTACGATTGTCTGTCTGTCTGGCGTTTGCGCAGCTTTTGACTTTGCTGAATGACGCGGGTCAGAAGTCGGGTACGATCAGCCAGCTGACGGGGATGGAGAAGTTCTTTGTGATGTCTGGTGGGAAGAAGGAGGAGTACTTTGCGCGGGGCAACGTCAAGGCGTGTATCTTCTACAAGGTGGATGTAGACGAGAGTGAGATCGGCTACCGGCCCGTGTTCTTTGTCATGGACGAGGGCATGGAGGGCGACATTGACGACCTCACACCCGCTGAACTCCAGCTCTACAACGAGTGAGTCAGCCACGGACGGAACACCGACACACACACACACACACACACACACACAGAGAGAGAGAGAGAGAGAGAGAGGGGGTGGATGGATGGATGGGGTTTTGGTTCATCTGCTGTCTGTCTGTCTGTCTGTCTGTGTGGTTGGATTTCAGGTGGATGGCTCCCGTGCAGAGCATGCAGATGGCCGCCGAGGCCAAGAAGAGGAGGCTAGAGGGATCCAAATACTCATACCCCGTAATCTCGCCCACACGCCCATATGCACCCACATGCCGCCCTCCACACATGCATCTTGGTGTCTGGTGTGGGTCATCCATCCATCCATCCCTTTCTCAGGAGGACAAGGACGCCGACCGAGCCGGTGAGGTTGAGATCGAGCGGTGGGTGGAGCGGGGCCTCCGCGACGAGTGGGAGAGCTTCGGCCTCTCGGCCGCCGGATGGTGGGACGAGAAGAGCCTCGAGACCTTCAGCAAACACGTCCTTGAGGGCGCCGAGGCGTCACAGCTGCAGAGCTGGTGGGAAAACTATGACACCACCACCATGGCAGACGCTAAGAGGCTTAGGCAACAGGTGAGCAGGGCAGCCAGCCTGCACACGGGAGAGTGCAGTGCAGTGCCGCCGTGTGTGTGTGTGTGTGTGTAGGAGCTGTATGGGCGTATGAAGTATTTTGCGGATGAGTGGGGATTGCCGGACCCCGGCATGCCGGGGCCCGACGAGCGGCCCGTCGAGGCCATGTTCAAACTCTACAAACAGAAACTCGCACAAGTGGTACAATTACACACACACACGCTCTCCCTCCCTCCCTCCCTCCCTCCCTCACAACACATGCGCCTTCCCCTTCTCTCTGTCTCTGTGTGTGTGCAGGTGTCCGACTACACTGCCAAGTTGGAGACGGTGGTCAAGCAGACGGACCAGGATGTCGACACGTACCTCGACAGGGTCACCACACTGCAGAAGCAGATGAAGGTCCAGATCAAGAAGATCCCACTCGCGCCATTCTTCGAAAACGTCGAGGAAACGCCCGAAATGAAGGCAGCCAAGTGGGTGGAGCAGAAACCACCCACATAAGCACATGACCTGACCTGCACATTCGTCCGCATCTTTCCATCTCTTTGTGCGACAGGGAGGAGGTTGACGCTGAGTTTCGAGCGGTGCTGCAGGGCATCCAGGCCGACCAGTACAAAGTGCCCATCACCGTCTCGACTGTCGAGAAAATGGTATTATACACACAATGGAGCAGAGCAGATCCAGACAGGTAGACAAGAAACGACAATGTGTGTTGCTTGTGTGTGTGTATGCTGTGGATGCAGGCTTTCCCCGCCAAGGCATCATCAGAGTCAGAGTAGAGTTGAGGACCTCGGCCCGGCCACTGTTGTGTGAGGGATGGATGTGTGGGTGGCACCCCAACACAATGGTCTGTCTGTCTGTCTGTGTCTGTTCTACCACCTCTCACTCATCGATAGTTTGTTTCACCAGTCAGTGCCGATTTTTGGCTCCATGACAAACATGCTTTTCAACGACTCTACTCCACAGCGAGACAGACAGACAGACAGACACATAGACGGACGGACGGACGGACGGGAGGGGTGAGTTGATGCGGCTCACAGGAGGGCCGTGGTGTGCCTGCCTGCCTGCCTGCCTGTGTGTGTTGTGTCTGTTGAGTGGGGGCCGTGCTTACAGACAGAGATGTGACTCGACAGCTGCTACTTTCAACTTGAAACCCAGATCGGCTCAGATCCTCGCCAAACCCGGCCGTCGCCCGGCCCGCTCGCGTGTACGCTATGCAAGGTTTGAACCCTTGACCTCCGCAGACCTCCGCAGATCTCTGAGCAGACGACGATGGAGGTGAGCAGGTGGACGAGGGCAGCACAGCTGAGACCGTTGATCTCAGACGTATCCGTTTGTTTGCGCCTGGTGTGCCTGTCAGGAGGCGGCCTCGAAGCGGAAGAAGAGGGACCACGATGCCCCAGGAGCTGCCGCAGCAGCTGCTGCCCGCCAATCTGTCAGTGGCCAGGCACACAGCATACAGAGGGCAAGTGTTGTGCTGATGTCTGTCTGTCTGTCAGGTTCGTCTGCCGGGAGATGGCGAGTGCTTCCAGCGCACAACAGTGGGCAACGGCATCGCCAGCCAAAAGGTGAAAACAACTTGTCGACGATTGCACCAAGACAGAGAGTCATTGTGTCTTGGTGCTGTCTATCGGGTGCTGTCTGTATGTCTGTCTGTCTGTCTGGTGTCTGTCTGTCAGGTGGTTGGTTTGTGTGACTTGGAGCCGGTGCATTTGTCTCACTTGGGAGTCTTCTTCACCACTATCGAGCGGCTGCCCCTCTCGGCTCTCTGTCTTGGCATGTACCGGCATCTACCGTGACCTGACCATCGCTCAAGATGAGCACAAGATCTGGAAGAGCGTGGTAGGTTTATGCGTCCGTCCATCGAGTCTCTGACTGACGAGCACCGGCATCACCTTGCTCTCTTTCTGTCGTCCTGTGCGTTTCCTGTGTGTGCGTGTTTGTGTCAGATTGACGGTCCTACGCATAACCGCCACACAGAGAAGGAGGCGGCAAAGGACGGGGCCGAGAACAAAGTCAAGAAACGAATGGTGGGTGCTGGCGAGGGCAGTGCTGCCTCGCCATCATCATTGCTGAAATCTCTCTGTGCAGGGCAATCTGCAGACTGTCAATATCGACGCGACCGAAGGCCAACTCCCCCTGGCGGTGGAGCTACTCCAGGCATCCAAGGCCACTCTCAAGTACATCCGCATCGACGAGCCGACGGCGAGGAGGCCATGGGAGGGCGGGGCACCTGGCGCACAGGGCGGGGCAGCGGCGTCTGGGGTGGTCTTTGACGGGGTCGAGGAGCTGCGTGTCACCAATCAGCTGTGGCTGGAGACATTCAGGTCCCCTGGCGGGGTGGGGCAGCACAATACAAGACAAGACAAGACAGCACACACACCCTCAATGGACGCACTAGTGCATGTTGCCCCTCGGCTTCTGTCTGTATGTCTGTATCTCTTTCTCCCTGTGTGTGTGCATTCAGGCGCCACGGGTGGGTATTTCCCGAGCTCTCTAAGCTGGGGGTGGGCCACGTGTATTCCAGCGACCGTTACGGTGGTGCCGGCTTCCAGTGGCACCACCAGAACACGCACTTGACCCTCCCCTCACTCACACACATAGTGTCGACATCGCCAAAGCTGACGTCCATCCAAGCCGACGTCATCGACACGGTGGACGGCACCGAGTGGCGGGCATTCTGCGATGCGGTGGCCGGGTGTGCCAACCTGACTTCCATCGAGGGGCTCACCCTCTTGGCCAGCGACGAGATCAGACTTTCGGCTGAGCAGAAGAAGGCAGATAGCAAACACAACAGGTGGGTCCCGCGACACGATGGCTTGTCGGTCTCTGTGTGTTGTGATGCTGTGTTCCTTGCCTCTACCAGTGTGTTGAAGCGTCCTGTGTACCACTCGCTGGCCGCCCTCACAACTGCCCTCAACACGCACTGGAGTGACGAGCACGGCCTCGATGGTGATATTAAGGACAGGGGCAGCGACGGCATGCCTTCACCATCGGCCGCCGAGGAACCACATACTCTCAAGAGCGAGAGCGTCGAACAGGTCAACGCGAAAGGCGACACGGAGAGAACAGGTACACAAGCAACCGAGAGAGTGCCTATCTCATCTTAGTGGCTATTGTTATGCATTCAGAAGCGCGGCCCAGGAAGCTGTCCTTCAACCATGAGTTCGTCTTTGGTGCCAGCTTCTGTCGGCAGCTCAAGCGGCGTCTCGGCACCGACGACTTCACGCTCCAGGACCTCCTTGAGTGGGCACGTGGCGTCAAGTGTCAGCTCGAGTGGCGCCAACGCAGAGAGGATCTGGAAGACCCAGACGACAGACCCCCGCACCCACTCGACATCTCCTCCACGACGGCTCCTGCACGGCTGCGGTGGAGGGACGTGGTTATCGACTGTGCGAGCAAGACCCCGACAGGCGACGCCACGGCGCCGAAAGACGGCCTCGTGGCGGACCTGATCAGAGTTGTCGCCAAGACGCACGAGAAGGTGGGTGAGAACGGGCCAGTACTGGGGATGGGTGTCGTTATGAATGGAATGCTCCCTCACACACAGGTCGATTTGGTGTCTGCTGGGTTTCCCATCGACGACTCGTGGGCCGAGCTGCTCACCTTCCCCCGTGCCACCCACTTGTCCGTCCGAGGAGGGCGGGGCCTCCAGAAGATGCTGGAGGGCATCCCGGGATGGCTGCTCGATGTCGACGAGGGAGGCAACAATCGACGGCTGCCTTCGGTCCAGCACTTGTACGTCGAGCTGCTGGGTGAGCTGCCGCGTGGTGCAAATGCAGGCAAGCTCCAGGCGCTGGTGGGCAGCCTCAAGCACCTGAGGACGGTGCGCATCTTTGGCCACGGGCTTGGCGACATGAGCCAGTGTGTGTCTTACCTGTGCCCTGCCCAGCCCCTAGACAAGCTAGAGCTGTTTTTCTATGAGGATACTGGCTATGATGTGGACGAGGCGGCGCATAAAGTGCGCCCCAACCTGAGCTACCCACTCATCGCGGGCATTTTTTCCGCCCGAATCAACTCTGATCCTGGGTGCATTCGGGGGGTGCCTCGTGACTGTGTGACGAGCATGCTGTCGATGGCTTTGACCATGCGGCCGAGCAAGGTCGATTTTGACCTGCAAGTATGGCCTCTGCCCGAGTGGTATCCTGATGAGCACTGCATGTACTCGTTAAATGATGACAGCCCATCTCAAGAGGAAGGGGCCGATGAAGAGGGAGGGGAAGAGGGAGAGGGAGGCTGGGAGAAGTCGAGAGATGAGTTCAGTGCCAAGTGTACGGCCATGGTCCAGGATGCATACGATGTGCAGTGTTTTGAGCATTCGGTGGATTTCCCTTCCATGGGTGTGCGGGATGATATCCACGTCTACTTTCAGCTGGGGCTGACGCGGAAGGAGGGGGCAGGGGCAGGCAGGTAGGCAATTAAGGTTGAGAGCAGTGGCGGTAGACAATAGGCATTGTAGGTGTCTGGTCTGCATGGACCCATAAAGGAAAGGCCGATTTGTTTCGTGAAAGTATGTGCGTGCGTGGCTGCAATTGATAGGGAGACTCCGCCACGTGTGTGGCGGAGGTGAGAGCATGTCTTAACACGGTGACGGATGGATTCTTTTTCTGGTGTGCTGTGCGTCAGCGTCCACGCCCTTCTGCCTTTGTCGATGCGTGCATGCGTGCGTGCACAGCCGATGTGAGGCTACCGAGAGAGAAAGGATTTGTTGACTTATGAAGTGTATGCATGTGGGACGCTAGCGTGTGTGCATGTGTGGGAGCGTGACTCGTGTGTGCCCCTCTTTCCCCCCTCTCACCCCCCATCATGGCTGGGCTGCCATGTATGTGTGTGTCGATGGGATTGCCAGTGGCAACACACACACACACACACACACACATACCCATTGGTCCTTTGATTGAGAGTGGATAGTCAGATGACTGACTGGCTGCCTGTCTGTCTGTCTGTCTGCGTATATGAACGGACAAACGAACAACTCAATGGAAGATCAAGGAACCTCCCCGTGAGCGTTTCCCTCTGCGTGCTCTCCCTCCCT